TTTGAATGTAAAGACAATTATCTGTAGTCCAGGAGTCGTAATACTTCACCACAAATTGTGAACTCACTTTAATTAAATTCTCCACTTCTATGTCTAACATATGTTTCTGATGTTTGGTGAAATCTTTAAAAACCGGCCTTGCTGCAATTGAAAAGTTATCATTTTATTTTAATGTAATTTCATGAGTCAAATCGAAACAAAATAAATTATTAAAACATTTGAACGCTGTTAGTATGATGTATACTAAATGCTGTATGCAGCATGCCTACGATGCGCATACATTGTAATCCGGGCGACATTAACAGTGACAAAACAGTGACTATTAAAACATGGGTCGGTATAGAGATTAATGTTAAAATGTTTAAAGTTTTGTCACTCATAGTGTGGCCTCAAATGGTTCCAGTTTGCATCGGGTGGCTCTATTGACCTAAACTTAAATAACTTAATGACCAGTAGGTAAATATACCAGATGACCAGTGTAAAATGTTCCCCTTGACCTAACCTAACCTTACCTATCCTTACAATGGTCAAAAATCTATTGGTCATTAAGTTATTTAAGTTTAGGTTAATTGGTTTTTAGGTCAATTTGCCAGTTCCCGTTTGCATCGTAGCTGTATGCTGTATAATCAATGGTATAGATATATTCAAAATTTTAAGTAATTTATAAATACCTTCAAACTGAATCATTTTAACAGCAAATGGACTGTTAAATTTAGTGTGATATACATTCCCGAAGCCACCCGATCCAATTTCATTTAGTTCACTATGGTCACAATATCTTAATGAATTCACAATTGTGCCGAATGTTACTTGATGTTCATTTTTGTAATAGTCAATAAAATCGTTATATTGTGTCATAGTCAGCATGTTTGTGGTCTCGGTAATTGTATTAATTTTACCATTTTGTAATACAGTAATAGGGCAATGTGAGTTTGATTGCGATAACTCTTGAACTTTTATATCTGATAATTGAACAGGCGAATTTTGGTTAATATCGCAAATGTATATAAAACCCGAGTTTGACAGAAAATAGGACACGTTCAATTTACAGGCAATCGCTTTGATATTAATTAACGTGGGTATATATTGTGGCACGAATATGGATTCAGTGAACAGCATATTGAGTCCCAATTGGTTATCAATATTATTGCCCCAAATGAACACATGGCCGTCAAAGTTAAGGGCAAATGATTTCCTTTCAAAACAATAAATTGTCTTAATTTTGCACGTATTGGGGAATTGTATGAGAATTGGTGTACAAATGGTATCACCTTGAGTGTCCCCACAGCCTACCTGTCCCTCACGATTACAGCCCCACCCATACACCTGTCCATCGGATGTGAGGGCCAGTGAGTGATAATAACCGCAACTGATTTGTTGGACATCTTTGTCGTCGAAATACGATATTTTCTCGGCTTTTAAATAATCCTTTTCTGGTGTCACATCCCGACCCAACTGTCCCCACATGTTGTGACCCCAGCTATACATATGGTTCACACTATTCATAGCCAATACAAAGTCATATCCAATGAAAAAGCTTCGAATTTTTTGATAACATAATTCCCGTACAACTTGTGATGAATGTATGGCCTGGTTGTGACCCAAACCCAGACACCCCTCCCTATTGGGTCCCAACCCATACACCATATCATCGGTGGTAACGAACAGAAGATTTTTATTATTATTAAACAAATCATCGAAAATGTGAAACAATAAAATATTTTGTTTTATATTTGTGTCGAGTTTATCAATAATTGTAAACACAATGTCAAGGTATTGATCAATGTTAATATAATTTGGTGAAATTAACAAAATAAAATGTATTAAACCGATAATTATTAAACTAATTATTTATGATTATGAAAGTTGGTAAATTGCACTAAGCTTCTAATAAGTAAAATGCCGTTAATTACGAATACAATCTTCATTCCCATCGCATAGCACTTCACGAGTCGACACTTTTTGCAGAATTTTCTGGTCCCCAGACTTATGTCACAATTATTTTTGCGAAAACATTTCAACGACTATTTATAATTAAATAAGTTATCAGGGTATCTATTAATATAAACTTTTAATGATATACAAGTTTTACAAACTCTTTTCATTGTAGAGTTACGTCGGAAAAAGGCTTTACACGGCTGGCAAGTGTAGGCATTAAAATTTTTACCTAGATTATAATGATGATTGTATTTGTATTTTATTAATCATGGTAAGCATATGTTTTGTATTCATTATATTAGTAAAATTAATTTGTTGATAAATAATAAAACAACATAGTGTACTAAATTAACTAATCTACATACCAATAGCCAGGTCACCGCAAATTACGCATAATTTATTACTATCAGGATCACTCATTTTAGTAAAATAATTTATTTATCACACAAGTTTAACATAATAAAAGTATTTATTGTTTGCTAACTTATATGACATTGTTAAATAAAACATGTTTTATTTTGAAATGAATAATTGAACGGAATTCTGCTAAAAGGATCTATGTCTGAATGAATAGAGTATTAAATGTATTTAATTGTATTGAAAATAAAAATGATTTAATTACTTTTAAACTTAATTAAATCATTATTTATAGTAATTTTTAATTTGTTTAATTGTTTAACAAGATATAATCATTATAATTTGTTAAATTTACAAAATTGTAATTAGTATTAAAACTATAACCAAATCTAATAAAAATACATTAAACCAACGATCAATTGAGTTTAATAGAAATAGTTATCTAAACTTAATAAAACATAGTTTATAATCACTAGATTAACAGTTTATAATCATTTTATTGATTATTTGTGTCATATAAATTAAAATTAAACATTCTATTAAGCTAGAAAATAATAATTATATAAATAAAATAGATAGATCCTTATTGCATGTTGTCATTCAATTAGTATTAAAACTTATTTATACAATATATTACAGTATTATCCGGAAATAAATATACTATTATATGTACCAATATATTGTTTAATGCTTAATACAGGGTTTTATTTTATAATGCTTGTTTGAAATTAAAAATACTATTTTATTTCAATGATCTGGCTAATTATTACAGTGTTAGACTTTACAGAACTTTTTGACGTATTAATTGAAAATATAATTAATATAGTTTTACAAACATTTATTATATTCAAGACCTTGTAGGCAAAATACTCATTTAGCAAAGTCATTTTAAATAGTAATGTTTGTTAAACCTATTGTTTATTGTATGTTAATTTGGTTTTTAAAAAATTGTTGGATTTATTTATTACTACAGTATTAATATTTTAAATTATCCCATTTTATTTAAACATATAGTTATAAATATTTATGTATAGTAAAACATTTGTATAAGCATTGATTTATAAAACAATGATTTAATAATAAATAATTTAGCACAATATATTTACTAACATCTAAAACAATAATCTCAATTATTTTTATTTATCATAAGTATTAATAGTGCAAATGGACTAGCAAATACAAATTGTACTTGAACAGTGTACGAGTGTTTTGAACAGTTTGATCATTATTTTCACGCATTTCGGTATTTAATTTTATAGTAAATAATTTTATATCTGTATTATTGAGTTAGGTTTTAGATATAGTCAAACAAATTAATTTTTATATCACATTTGTATTGAAAACCATAACTATTAGTTTTGTAATACACAGGATATGGACTGACATTTGTCATTTTTACCTTTATATTATTATTTGATTTATCCCTTTTTATACAAAAACAATATTTCACTGATTTTATAAGCGGTTACAATCTGGAAATTTTTTATATTAATTATTATGATAAAATTGAAAGTACAGTTCAGTGTACATGTGTTGCACAGGTACATTTACCGTTTTACTAATCCATGTTCATTATACCGAGGCATGTCTATATTTACATCAGCTTATATCAGGATATTAAAATACAATAAGCTTCTATAATAATGAACTTATAAATAACATTTTTAAATTTAATTTTTTTAAATGTAATTAAAAAATCTTTGATAACATTATGCTAAAAAAGTAATTGGTTAGCATAAACTAATTAAACACAAGACAAATTTTAAAAATATAAAATATGCCAAACTATTTATTTTTACAAACAAAGAACTTTGCCATATAAACACATCATGGTATTAGATAACAATATTAATGTTATTTTTATATAACTTATTGTTGATCATTAATAACTACATTAAAATTACTGTAATATATAAACAGGAAATGGCATATTAATTTTTTTAAATGTAATTAAAAAATCTTTGATAACATTATGCTAAAAAAGTAATTGGTTAGCATAAACTAATTAAACACAAGACAAATTTTAAAAATATAAAATATGCCAAACTATTTATTTTTCAAACAAATTTATATCTGTATAGTTATTCACAATATGCTCACTATAAACAACTGTACTATATTTATCTATCTGTATAATGAAGTTTATTTTACCCATGGTAGTATATCGTGCTTACACTCACCTAAGATAGTGTAACAATTGTTACACAGAAATTAAATGCTATTATTGTGTAGTCATTAGAGACGATCACCAAAAATAATACTTTATAAATGAATTTCTTATCACAAAATATGGGGTCATTCAACAAATACGTAGTCAATTAATAGGGTGGTGAGGGGGAGGTCAACAAAACAATGTTAACAAGTAAAGTAATAATAAAAATAATATTAATTTCTAAGTGTTCAGAGAAATTATTTTGCATACATACTAATTGAATGACCCCTAGTATATTTGTTGACTCAGAAAATGTGCACACAATTCATAATATCTTGAAATACCTTGAAATCTATTATTTTCACTCAAAAACATAATCCATTTTGCGTACTATTCTGATATGTGTAATGTGAACTAAAAAGTGAACCTGCTAAGTAATATCCCTAGAAAATAATTAACAAACAACTCAGCGTATAATATATTTATATTCTAAAGTTATTCAATGACCCGGAGTGTGAACTGTATAAATAGTAATTTACAGTCCATTATGAATATGTCGTATAAACATCATATAAATGACGACAATTACGACAAAAAGTGTGCGGTTTGTGGCGATCGGGCACTCGGTATGTATAGCTATAGCAATATTATGCTATCTATGACTATAAATAACTATATATTTAATTATTTTCAAATTTATAAAAATGTTTAAAATAGTTTTACATTTATTAAAACATGTCAATAAACATATGACCTAGTTATATATTAATTATAATAAATAATAATTAAAATCTCGTTTAATATTGTAAGGCAACAACTTTGAGGTGCTGTCGTGTCCCTCATGTAAGGCATTCTTTCGTAGGAATGCCACCAAAAATAAGGTATTTATAATGATAAACAAAATAAAATTATCAAGCATAATTATGTTTTTTACATTCATTTTAATAGCAATACAAATGCCTTTTCGACAACAACTGCACCATAGATATCACGACCAGAAAGTACTGCAAAAAGTGTCGACTCAACAAATGCTACGCTATGGGCATGAAAAAAGTTTGTACAGGGTCATTTAAAAGCACATAAAATTCACAGAATATTCTTATCCTTATATTTAGGACTGGATTCTGTTAAATGAGTGGAAAAAAGGCATTAAATGCGGACTTCAAACCAATAATAATAATACAAATACTGAGACCATTAGTCCTAATAGTAGTCCTATTGATGAACATTATTATAGTAATCCCATGGACTATGAAAATATTAACCCCGGTGTTCACTACAATAACATGACACACGCCATACCTCTTGACAGTCCCGTGCCATACGGTTCCGACACCTCACACGACACGGACTACTCGTCCCCGCCCTTAGACTACACAATCAGTATATATTTAGGCGGATGTGTCGACTATGTCACCACAACCACCGGCGCCCCAATTGACATACCGGACACGTTTGGGGACATCGATGTGGACAGTGATGTGGAAAAGGAGATCAACGACGAGATTCAGGACATATCGGCCGCCATTGAGCTTCAGGACAGCCTGTTTTGGGTGGACAGACCGCTCACGGACTACAGGAATAACTTCAATGAATTAGAGGGCAATAAATTGCGTGAACTATTGGCAGCCACTCAGGTGTTCATTGAGCTTGCTCATACCACGCAGCATGATAAATGGCTATATCATGGGCACCCGGACTATAAGCCGAGTCTATTGCACCAACACATGAGACGACTGAACAAAATGTGTCACAATTTGACGGCTTTTAATAACATATGCGACGCCGATAAGATTTGCTTGCTCAATTATGGCTCCATTGACCTGTTTTGCATTAGGTCGCTACCTAATTATGATTACACCAGGGAGAATTGGACTTTTGTTATGGTTTGTGTAATTTTATTGTCGAGAGAGAGAGAGAGACTTACAAATACACATGAATTTAAAACTTTATTAATTGTAAATAAATTATTTTTTGTATTGATTTATAGGATAAGGACACATCGCTTATAGTGAGCCTAAATGTGTTGCAAAATATGCCCCGAAATGCCCACAAGTTATGCAAAAACTTTTTCCATACCATAGCTAAGGAATGGGACACCGATTCCGTGATTCTCGATCTGGTAGTACACTCTCAGTCGTACAGTACATATGTATGATATATCTTAACAACAATTTTGTTTATTTTTGTAATACAGTTGACGGCAATTATATTTTTTAACCCCAACCGACCCAACCTTAAGCACAAGCATATGGTTAAGTATGTATTAGTTATTATTATTATATGGGACTAGTAGCACAATCTATATAAATATAATTTTTTAATAAAAGTAACTGAATAGTTATCAGTAGCAATTTAAAATAGAAATTAATATTTATTACAATAGGCTAAAAAATTATATGTTTACTGTAAATGTTTTTAATTAAAAGTAAATATTTTAAAAAATTAGTTAATTTATAAAATAATGCATTTAATTAACGTAAAATATGGTATACTGTATGTATGTTTGTATAATTTTACTATAATTAATTAGGTAATTATATAGATTACCCTCACACTATTAATGATACTGAATACAAATTGTCTATAATTATCATCCCTGTCCACTCTTAGGCTACAACAGCACGCATACATGCATTTACTACAACGCTATCTACTATTGAGATACCGGACGGAAAGCCACTCGCAGTCAAAATACTTGTCATTAATAAACAGTTTAA